CTCATTTGGAAGACATCAACGAATCAACCAAGCAACCTTGGAGCATTCACTCTCAACTGAAGTTCTAGAGCAATAGAACAAGTTTAGTTTTCTGCATTTAATTTTATTTTCGTATTTAGTTTTTAATTCTCTCTACTGTGCATTGTATGCCCCCTGTGGGCAACAGCTTAAGTGAAATTTCATTCAAGTATTTCTTATGCATTTTTCTTCTTCTATTTCCTCTATATTTTATAATTTTATTATGAGCTAATCACCCCTTTGGGTGTGGGTGTGAGTCAAACTTATGAATTTGAAGGCACATTTGGGTGTTGCTAATTTTATTAATTCTTAAGCTTGGTCATTTAAGTCGGGACTTAAGCTCAACGCGGATAAGCTGATCACTTTGAAGTGTTAATATTAGATCCTTGATCCAGAGATGGGCGGATCTGAAATACTGCTTAAATGATGCACAAAGATTTGAGAGAGTCTTTGATAATCACGTAGAGATATGGATTCTGTAAKTTTTTAGCTAATGTTCAGATATTAGTCGAGTTTATACTACAAAGAGATTTGAGTATAAATCTTCAGGCTAGTGGAACCAGATATCTTTTTATCTATTAGCTAATTCGGCAAGTTTAAAATTGATAAAACTAGACGCTTTGTGGGCACTCTGTGGGCACAGAATATAAGAATTCACTTTCAAGAAATTGGAGTTTTTATAGAAATCCCATRAGTTTCTGACCAAACTGTTCCTACAATCTTCTTAAAGGAAACTTACACCCATACCCATCTTTTAATTTCAAATGGTTTATTTCGTATTTTTAAGCTTTGCACCAACAAAACTCAACTTTTATTCACAAACCGAAACATACTCAATAAGCTCATGAAACTCTCTGATTCTTAKTAAGTCCAGTCCCTGTGGAAACGATCTTGGTACTATACCACTTTATTACTTGAAACGATCATAGTGTCGGCGTGCACTTGCACCGTCACTATGGGGACTTTGTGCCCACTGTGTGAACACTTTCGATTCTAGCACATCAATAATTTACTTGTAATCTTGAATTTTAAGTATATGCATCAATATGCAGTACTTCATGCATAAAAAATGATTTTCAAGATTTTTTGTCAAATGCTTTGTAATATAGTAT